TGTGTCCTACAGAGCACGGCGCCACCGCTCCATGCTCTGGCAGAGGTCGCAACCGGGTACCCGATACCCGTACTCTACCCGGCTACCCGATACCCGTACCCTACCCGATACCCGGCTACCCATACCCGATACCCGTACCCTACCCGATACCTGGCTACCCGATACCCGTACCCTACCCGATACCCGGCTACCCGATACCCGTACCCTACCCGATACCCGGCTACCCGTACCCGATACCCGTACCCTACCCGGTAGCCGTTCGTGATCCTGGTGCGGCCGGGTACGGGTATGGGTAGGCCGTGAGTCACTGGTGAGTAACCGTTTGTCACTCATTTCGGGTAGGGTACGGGTACGGGTAGGGAACGGCTACCCGTACCCGGCCGGGTACGGGTAACCCATTTGCGACCCTGGTGCGGCCGGGTACGGGTATGGAATCAAAACCCGTTTGCGACCTCTGTGCTCTGGGTGCCATCTGGCTAACCGACCCGGCCTCTCTCTCCGTGTGTTTGTCTCGCGTGCAACCGTAGTGGGGGGGGGGGGGGGGGGGGGATGGACCAGCCGGGGATTTTCGGCAGCCGTTGTACATAGTAGCCATGGCGGGCGCGTTAATGATACGGAAATGTTAATGTTGTGAGGAGCGAGCGGCAGAAAGGCGGGCGGACCCCCGGGTTCGATTCCCGCTCACAGCCCAAACGCCAAGTGACGGTTATCCGAAACCGGTCCCAGGGCCGCCTCCCCTAGGTCGACTCAGCCTCGAAAGAGTAGCCGGTGCGGTGTGTAAAATCACCGGGCGTGGTGCTGGCCACCCACCCTACCCCGTGCGCCACATTGCCGGCCTTCGTAGGCGCTGCTCGCTAACAGCACTTGCTCCCAACATTTTGTTACAGGCTACACGGCGGAGGGAAGGGGGGGGGGTAGATCTTTGTCTTTGTTAATGATTCTAGATTTGAAGCTTTCGTGACTGCAAGGATTCATACGGTAAAGTCACGTAGGTAAAAAATGAAGTTAAAATTAATACAAATAAAATAATTAAAATCACGACGTTTCGGAGGCAACACAAGTCTCCGTCATCAGGTGGGACCGTCGCAGCCAGATTTGCTGTACTTGGTACTTGATACTTGGTACTTGATACAGCAAATCTGGCTGTGACGTCCCACCTGATGACGGAGACTTGTGTTGCCTCCGAAACGTCGTGACTTTTATTATTTTATTTGTATTAATTTTAATTTCATTTTTTACCTACGTGACTTTACCGAAAAAACTACGAGTTTTGTCAACGATATTTAAACCCGCGATTGCCGCGTTAGCGTCGTCTTGTGCCAGTCCTTCCTGTGCGTGCCCGGACGTTTCCTGCAATGGAACGAACGCGGTTGGTCGAGTGGCCGTGCGCCGCCGCCATCGTCGCCGTTGTCATCATCGCTAAACGGTTTTGTCCCCGTGGCCATGCCGGGCGGTGGGGGGGGGCGGTGGTGAGGGTGGTCGAGAGAGAGGAAGTCAACGGCTCGAGACGTACAGGGATGACGCGAGGGGAGTGAAAGTCGAGGGTCGAACGAATCGGAAAGGAGTGGGGAGAGGCCTGAGAATGGAGGGATCCCCCCCTGTCCCCAAGACGGACGGAGGAGGAAGTCAACGGCTCAAGACTTTCAGGGATGACGCGTGAGGAGTGAGAGTCGAGGGTCGAACGAATCGGAAAGGAGCGGGGAGAGAGGCCCGAGAACGGAGGGCTCCCCCCCCCCCCCCCGTCCCCAAGGCGGACAGACGGAGAAGGAAGTCAACGGCTCGAGACTTTCAGGGATGACGCGTGAGGAGTGAAAGTCGAGGGTCGAACGAATCGGAAAGAAGCGGGGAAAGAGGCCGAGAACGGAGGGGTCCCCCCCCTGTCCCCAAGGCGGACGGAGGAGGAAGTCAACGGCTCAAGACGTACAGGGATGACGCGAGGGGAGTGAAAGTCGAGGGTCGAACGAATCGGAAAAGAGCGGGAAAGAGGCCCGAGAACGGAGGGCTGCCTCCCTCCCTCCCCAAGGCGGACGGAGGAGAGGAAGTCAACGGCTCAAGATGAGCGGCAGCGGCGGCGGAGGAGGAATGACCAAGCGAAGATTTCAGGGGTGATGAGAGGGTGACGATGGGAAGAGAGAGAGAGAGGAGTGAGCTGCACGGAGGGAGGAGCGAGGTCTGGAGTCTCGGTCGTACTCCGATTGTAAATGTCGTTGTGGCTTTGCTCTCCAACACACCGGTGGTGCTGTACTGGTAACAAGTTGCCACGTGCTGTTTACGTGACAAACCCCTTACCGATTGGCTGTGTCGGGTGGTATATTTACGCGATTCTAACCCAAAAAAAAACCTGTATTGTGGATATTGCTCGCGAAAGCCTGCTACGCTGTTAAACCTGCTGGAGTCTGTTTTCACAGCGGGTGGTGTCTGCGAGAAGGAGGGGGGAGGCGGGGCTAGAGGGGGGAGGTTCAGAGTGGGAGTGGCCACACGGGAGGCAACGTCATTTTCCAGGAGGTTCGAACCGACAATGACAGAGGTGGTGCTCGTTTTCGTTGTTGTTGCTGCTGTACGTACGTCTGCGCTGCGGTTTTCTTCGTCAGTAAAGTCCCACCGTCCGTCCGTCCGTCTCTGCCCGTCCGGTTCATTGGTTTGCCGCTCAACGGCACGGCTCAAGAGAGAACAGTCCTGTAGTTTGAGTCGCTACCCACCCGGGTCGGATCTTCGATCGGCGCGGTCGATCGCGTACGGCGCGGAAAGGAGTTCAACGTGCGCCGCGTGCAGATCACGCAGGAATCTGACCCCCCCCCCCCCCCCACAGACTCCGACTCCTGCCACTGGGGGTGGCCCCCTTTTTAAATCCTTTATTAAATCCTTTATATTAAGTTCGCTTGCTTGCTTAGGACCGTGCAAATCTTTCGGTCGTTTTTTAACCCACTTTCCGTGATCCAATCGAGCTGACATTTTGCCCGCAGACTCGTTGTGCGTGACAAAAATCCAAAATTTAATTACCAATTGTTTAATGCTGCCAGACAATCATCTGACCCATAGGTGGCAGCCATCTCAAGCCAGAGGACGAGAGGACTCTAGCCGCCACGCATATAAAGGATTTATAGTGAAAAACTTTGTTTTTTACGGGTTATTTTTTTAAAAATAATAATAAAATAAAACGGGAGGTTCCATGGGGGGCTGAATCGGGGAAAACGACGGACGTCGTCGCTACAACGGCGGCGGTCAGAAATTGTTTTGACAGCTCTCCTTTTAATCACGACGGGGGCCGGGGGGGGGCGAGGGGGGGGGGGGGCGAGGGGGGGGCGCAGGGGGGGGGCGGGCGAACCGACGCAGTGCGCCCATCGCGGACGGTCACTCGTCCGCGAGGCGACGCGCCAGCCAGCATGGTGACCACTCGTCGCTGTCGCAGACGGAGGGAGAGCGACTCGGAGGGAGGACGACTCGGGAGAGAGGGCGACTCGGAGAGAGGGAGGATGACTGAGAGAGAGGGCGACTCAGAAAGAGAATGGACTCAGAGAGAGAGAACGACTCCGAGAGAGGGCAACTCAGAGAGAGGACGACTCAGAGAGAGAGGACGACTCAGAGAGAGAACGACTCAGAGAGAGGGGACGACTCGGAGAGTGAGAGAACGACTTCGAGAGAGAGAACGTCACAGAGAGAGAGGGCAACTCAGAGAGTGAGAGAACGACTCCGTGAGAGAGAACAACAGAGAGAGGACGACTCAGAGAGTGAGAGAATGACTCCGTGAGAGAGAACGTCACAGAGAGAGAGGACGATTCAGAGAGAGAGAGAGAGAATGACTCAGAGATAGAGAACGACACAGAGAGTGAGAGAACGACTCTTAAGAGAGAGGGCAACTCAGAGAGAGAGATGGACGACTCAGAGAGAGAGAGAGGACGACTCAAGAGGTGCCAGGAGGAGGAACCACAGGCGAGCGGTGAGGCAGCTACAAATCCTCCCACGCACGCGAGAGGTGACGGAGGAGTGGGGGGGAGAAACGCTCAATCCCACACAGATGTAACAGACGGGGAAAACCACTTTGCCGTTCCACCTTCTCCAGTCGAGCCGGTGGGTACGGCGCTCCTCTTCCTCGACGACCACGGGAATGGTGGGGGTTGGGTTGGGGGGGGGGAGTTTCGCACGCCGGCCCCCAGGTTCTGGAACGCTATCACCAATAAACTGCAGCTTGGATCACTACCTGTGAGATCTTCACACAAAACTGCTCTGGAGGATTTACACCATTGGAACCTCATTTGGCAGTAAAAAATATGATCATTGGTTTTTTACCCTTCTATCTGGCAACAAAACTGACACCTTTTTTTTTTACGAGGAGTCATGTTTGCATTGACCAAAATACCTGCAGTCATAATGCAAACAAAAAACACACAACTCTGATAATGTATGCACTGTCCTTGAAGTTGATTGGTCCACACCCGAGACAGCTTTCCTTAGAGCCTAGTCTTACATTGGTTGGACCAGATGACTGCAGGTATTGTGGTCAATGCAAACATGACTCCTTGTAAAAAAGGTGTCCGTTTTGTTGCCAGATAGAAGGGTAAAAAAACAATTATCATGTTCTGGAGGAGTTGTACACCCCTAGCTGCCACTGTTATACTGGTAGGAACCTCCTGGTTACACCAGCCCACAGGGGATTACTGTGTCCGTCCGTCGTGCAGGGAGGGGCTGGGTGGGGAGGGAGGGGCTGGGTGGAGAGGGGAGAGTGGGGAGGGGCTGGGTGGGAGGTGTGGGGCTGGGTGGGGAGGGGCTGGTCACCCCGTGGTGCCCTTATAAAACTCAACGTTTAACCTACTCACGCCGGCTTGTGCCCGCCCTCACAGTCGGCCATATTTGCGGAATACACCACGCCCCCGTTGACCCTGCAGGCCATTGACCGAGCAACCCGACGTTCCTACCAGCTCCCTCTGCAGGGATGTGTTTCAGAATGGCCTGAAATCAAATGCATCATTCCGGATGACCGCTGCAAAGTATGAACTTGAGTTTTGATTATAGTGTGCTGATCTTTAAAGGTGTGTTGAAAAATGTTGATACTGCTACTGATACTCCAGCTGTTATGGAGTGACTCATGCAGCCAGCCATGGCTGCAAAGTTTGGTCGTACATGTTATATCGTTTATTGTTAAATTTCAATCACAGTTCCTATGATCACCGTTACATTGTTTTTATAGCTTTATTTTGGTGACTTTGAAAACGTTTTGGTTCAGCCATGTTTGTTTGTTTTAGTCCAGAGTTCGCCCGATAACTTTAATCTTAATTGTCTTGTGGTTGTCATTGTTTGACTTGCATCCCACTGGGATTTTTGCACACGGCGTTGGTGCGCGGCGCTTTTTCTGGAAGACTTTGCAGTTTTTTCCTGGATTTCCCTGTTGCGCGTAGTCACTTGAAGATCATTCTTCTTCGTGTTTTTGTTTCTTGCGGTTGCACCCGAGTCAAGAGCCGCGTGGCCCACAGGGCTACACCTCATACAGGAAATGAAACGCAACGCCGGAGGGGCCGGCACGCCAGCTCAGTCACCGTCCGGGCCGCTTGCCGGAGGCCCCCCCCGCAGGCCCACCACTCTCCGCGGTGCGAGCTCCTTGCCGCACCCCCACGGCCCGTCGTGGGGGGCCACCCTTGACGCCCGCGGAGGAGGGCCCCCCGCGGCCTCCTCCCGGGCGCCGTCCCCGCACGGTGGCGCCGCCGTCACCGCCGCCACCGTCACCGCCGCCGGCTTGTCGCCCGTCACCGCCGTCACCGGCTTGTCGCCCGTCACCGAGTGCCTGGTCAGCTGGTGCCGCTGGAGGCTGCCAAGCACCTGGACAAAGACAAAGGTGCCCCGCCACGCCGTGTAGGGCTAACGCACCGCTTGGGCCTGAGTGCTGTGAGCGAGTCTCGGCGCCTGTGTTGTGGGTGGGTAAGTGGGTGGGTGGGTAAGTGGGCGGGTGAGTGGGTGGGTGGGTGGGTAAGTGACTGGGTGGGTGACTGGGTGGGTGAGTGACTGGGTGGGTGAGTGACTGATCGGGTGGGTGACTGAGCGGGTGGGTGGGCGAGCGGGTGGGTGGGCGAGCGGGTGGGTGAGCGAGCGAACGGGTGCTGGAGCGGGTGGGTGGGTAAGTGGGCAGGTGAGCGAGCGGGTGGATGGCTGGCTGGGTGAGTAAGTGAGTTGTTGGGTGGGTGATTGGATAAGTGGGTGGGTGATTGGGTAAGTGGGAGGGTGAGTGACTGGGTGGGTGGGCGAGCCAGCGAGTGTGTGGATAGCTGAGTAAGTGAGTAGGTAGGTGAGTGAGTGGGTGGGTGAGTGAGTGGGTGGGTGAGTGGATGGCTGGCTGGGTGAGTAAGTGAGTTGGTGGGTGGGTGATTGAGTAAGTGGGTGGGTAAATAACTGGGTGGCGAGTGGGTGACTGGGTGGATGGGTAGGCGGGCGGGCGGGCGAGCGGGTGGGTGGATGGCCAAGTGAGTAAGTTGGTAGGTGCGTGATTGGGTAAGTGGGTGGGTGGGCGAGTGACTGAGCGGGTGGCCCGGGTGAGTAAGTTGGTAGGTGCGTGATTGGGTAAGTGGGTGGGTGATTGGGTAAGTGGGTGGGTGGGCGAGTGACTGAGCGGGGTGGGTAGGTGAGTAAGTAAGTTGGTAGGTGCGTGAGTATCCGGCTTAGCCGAGCGGGTGAGCGGCCCGGCCAGGCGGCTGAGCGAGCGGCTCTTCACCGTGAACGTCTTCCCGCAGGCAGGGCACTCGTGCGGCCTCTCTCCGGCGTGCGCCCGCACGTGACGCCGCAGGTTGCCGTGCTCGGCGAACGCCCGGCCGCACAGGGCGCACGAGTGAGGCCGCTCCTCCGTGTGCGTCCGCTGGTGGTTGAGCAGGTGCTCCTGCTGGGCGAAGGCCCTCTCGCACACGGTGCACACGTACGCGCGCTCGCCCGTGTGGGTGCGCACGTGCCGCCGCAGGGCTCCCAGCTGCGTGAAGGCGCGGCCGCAGTCGGGGCAGGCGTGAGGCCGCTCGCCGGTGTGCGTGCGCCGGTGGGCCTTGAGGCTCGACGAGACGGTGAAGGCGCGGCCGCAGTCGCCGCACGCGTACGGTCGCTCGCCCGAGTGCGAGCGCGCGTGGATGTCCAGGTGGCTGCGGTGGTCCGTGCTGTAGGGGCACTGAGGGCAGCTGTGAGATTTAACCCGCGGCGGCGGCGGCGCTGGCGGCGGCTGCTCCATGACGACCGCCGACGGGTAGGGGGGAGCGTGGCACGGATGGGGATTAGTCCACGCACTCTGCTGCTGTGCCGCCTTCTAGCTGGCCGAGCCGGGGGGGGGGGGGGGTACGGCTCCTTATCGAGTTTCACAATCCCATCCGCGTGCGATCCATCAACCCTTGCCGCTGCCACCTCCCCCCCCCCCCCCCCCCCGCAACGTCTCACTCGGTCCGCATCTCGGTGAAGGTTGTGGCTAAATGAAGGATTTGATGGTTAAATAACGGGGCTGTATTTGCTGCGTGGGTCCAAGAAAGCGCTGTGCCGTCACGTGTCTAAAAAAAAAAATAAAGGGGCGTGTGAGCACGTGGTTACAAGATGGAGGGGCGTGTGAACACGTGTTACAAGATGGAGGGGGGGACACGTTAAGATGGAGGGGGCGTGTGAACACGTGTTACAAGATGGAGGGGGCGTGTGAACACGTGTTACAAGATGGAGGGGCGTGTGAACACGTGGTTACAAGATGGAGGGGCGTGTGAACACGTGGTTTACAAGATGGAGGGGCGTTGTGAAACACGTGTGTTACAAGATGGAGGGGCGTGTGAACACGTGGTTACAAGATGGAGGGACGTGTGAGCACGTGGTTACAAGATGGAGGGGCGTGTGAACACGTGGTTACAAGATGGAGGGACGTGTGAACACGTGGTTACAAGATAGGAGGGGCGTGTGAACACGTGGTTACAAGATGGAGGGGCGTGTGAAGCACGTGGTTACAAGATGGAGGGGCGCGTGAACACGTGTTACAAGATTGGAGGGGCGTGTGACACGTGGTTACAAGATGGAGGGGCGTGTGCAGCACGTGTTACAAGATGGAGGGGGCGTGGTGAACACGTGTTACAAGATGGAGGGGGCGTGTGAACACGTGTTACAAGATGGAGGGGCGTGTGAACACGTGTTACAAGATGGAGGGGCGTGTGAACACGTGGTTACAAGATGGAGGGGGCGTGTGAACACGTGGTTACAAGATGGAGGGGCGTGTGAACACGTGGTACAAGATGGAGGGGGCGTGTGAACACGTGTTACAAGATGGAGGGGCGTGTGACACGTGTTACAAGATGGAGGGGCGTGTGAGTACATGTACAAGATGGAGGGGCGTGTGAACACGTGTTACAAGATGGAGGGGCGTGTGAGCACGTGTTACAAGATGGAGGGCGTGTGAACACGTGTTACAAGATGGAGGGGCGTGTGAACACGTGTTACAAGATGGAGGGGCGTGTGAGCACGTGTTACAAGATGGAGGGGCGTGTGGCACGTGTTACAAGATGGAGGGGCGTGTGAACACGTGGTTACAAGATGGAGGGGGCGTGTGAACACGTGTTACAAGATGGAGGGGCGTGTGAACACGTGTTACAAGATGGAGGGGCGTGTGAACACGTGTTACAAGATGGAGGGGCGTGTGAACACGTGTTACAAGATGGAGGGGCGTGTGAACACGTGGTTACAAGATGGAGGGGCGTGTGAACACGTGTTACAAGATGGAGGGGGCGTGTGAACACGTGTTACAAGATGGAGGGGGCGTGTGAACACGTGTTACAAGATGGAGGGGCGTGTGAGCACGTGGTTACAAGATGGAGGGGGGCGTGTGAACACGTGTTACAAGATGGAGGGGCGTGTGAACACGTGTTACAAGATGGAGGGGCGTGTGAACACGTGGTTACAAGATGGAGGGGCGTGTGAACACGTGTTACAAGATGGAGGGGGCGTGTGAGCACGTGTTACAAGATGGATGGGCGTGTGAACACGTGGTTACAAGATGGATGGGCGTGTGAACACGTGTTACAAGATGGAGGGGCGTGTGAACACGTGTTACAAGATGGAGGGGCGTGTGAACACGTGTTACAAGATGGAGGGGCGTGTGAACACGTGGTTACAAGATGGAGGGGGCGTGTGAACACGTGTTACAAGATGGAGGGACGTGTGAACACGTGGTTACAAGATGGAGGGGCGTGTGAACACGTGTTACAAGATGGAGGGGCGTGTGAACACGTGTTACAAGATGGAGGGACGTGTGAACACGTGGTTACAAGATGGATGGGCGTGTGAACACGTGTTACAAGATGGAGGGGCGTGTGAACACGTGTTACAAGATGGAGGGCGTGTGAACACGTGGTTAAAGATGGAGGGGGCGTGTGAACACGTGTTACAAGATGGAGGGGCGTGTGAACACGTGTTACAAGATGGAGGGGGCGTGTGAACACGTGGTGACAAGATGGAGGGGCGTGTGAGCACGTGGTTACAAGATGGAGGGGCGTGTGAGCACGTGGTTACAAGATGGAGGGGCGTGTGAACACGTGTTACAAGATGGAGGGGCGTGTGAACACGTGTTACAAGATGGAGGGGCGTGTGAACACGTGGTACAAGATGGAGGGGCGTGTGAGCACGTGTTACAAGATGGAGGGGGCGTGTGAACACGTGGTTACAAGATGGTGGGGCGTGTGAGCACGTGTTACAAGATGGAGGGGCGTGTGAACACGTGTTACAAGATGGAGGGGCGTGTGAGCACGTGTTACAAGATGGAGGGGCGTGTGAGCACGTGGTTACAAGATGGAGGGGCGTGTGAACACGTGGTTACAAGATGGAGGGGGCGTGTGAACACGTGTTACAAGATGGAGGGGCGTGTGAGCACGTGTTACAAGATGGAGGGGCGTGTGAACACGTGGTTACAAGATGGAGGGGCGTGTGAACACGTGTTACAAGATGGAGGGGCGTGTGAGCACGTGGTTACAAGATGGAGGGGCGTGTGAACACGTGGTTACAAGATGGAGGGGCGTACCGACACGTGTTGTGAATCTCAGTGCATGGGTGGAGGGGGTGGAGGTCTCACGTCATCGAACTCGGGACCCCCACGGCTTCGGCTGTCGGCTTCTGCAGCAGCAACAGCAGGGAGGGCAGCAGTAGCAAGTGCAGCAGTAGCAAGTGCAGCATCAGCAGTAACAAGTGCAGTAGCAGGAGTAGCAAGTGCAGCAGCAGTAGCAAGTGCAGCAGCAGTAACAAGTGCAGCAGTAGCAAGTGCAGCAGCAGTAGCAGCAGTAGCAAGTGCAGCAGCAGCAGTAGCAAGTGCAGCAACAGTAACAAGTGCAGCAGTAACAAGTGCAGCAGTAGCAGCAGCAGCAGTAGCAGCAGTAGCCGTGGTACTGTTAGGAGGCAGCACGCAGACGCCTACAGCAACAGACTGGGCCCGGTTGCGTGGTGACGTCACCCCTCGCTGAGTAGAAGACGCGTATGACGTCACGGCGCCGGCGTGCGGGTGACGTCAATCCCCTGCTGGGAGAAAAACGCGGTGACGTCACGGCGCCGACGTCTCCCCCCCCCGCGGTGACGTCATCCCTTTGTTGTGAAAAAACGCGTCGACGTCACTTCCTGCTGGAAGAAGCTGCGGCGTGACGTCACCCCGACTGGTTGGCCTGGTATGACGTCACCGCGTCGTGCGTACGAAGACAAAGCTGCCCCGGGTAGCCCCACTTGTTTGGGGCAAGTGCTGCTCGCGAGCTGCAAGCGGCACCCTACGTCACGTCGTCACGTGACGTTGCTGACGCAATGGACCCGCCCCCACAATTCCTGGAATCCTAAATAACTTAAAATAAAAGCAATTTTTTACACGTTTTTATTTAACTCACTCTGTTGTTGTTGTTGTATCTTCAAATCTATTTAAACTCTTATTTTAACCCACTTTCCAATGTGGTATCGACTGTAAACTTGGTATACTTATTTTTACTGATGACAATATTTTATCATTAAAAAAACAAGAGATTTTAAAACATTATTTTTTTAAGTTATGTTTCCGTTTGGGTCTAATTGTCCACGCTCAACTCACGTTGGCTGTAATTGGCCACGGTTCCTCGGGGCCACTTCCTGGGGTCGTGGAGTTCTGCCATTACTAGTACGGTACATTTCATTAAAGCGTGTTTGAAAAAAAGTGTTTTTTTATATTACTTATTTTAGTTTAAATCGGTACCAGGTTGCTCTTTATCAGAAGGCGACCCCTGACTTTATCACAAATGATGGCAAGCTCAACGAAATGGCTTCACGATGTCGGGACATTTCACAGCGACCAATTTCCTCTGATGAGAAACGCGAAGCTTTAAATATACAGCAGCAGGCGTCAGAGTCGAGCTCGAACCCACGACCTCCTGTATACCAGGCGAGGCAGTCAACATCTGGCCATTAAATTTCGATTTAAAGCTTTCGTGACTGCAGGGATTCATCTTCTTGGTTCTTTCGGTAAAGTCACGTAGAAGGGAAATAATAAAATAATAAAAATAAAACATAATAAAATAATTCTCACTGGCCATTGATGATGATGAGAGACGCAAGCTCTAAATATACAGCAGCAGGCGTCAGAGGATCGAACCCACGACCTCCTGTATACCAGGCGAGGCAGTCAACATCTCCTCGCTGAGTCGACCACAGGGAGGGATCCAGGACCCGGTGAAGCTAATCGCCCCGAGCGGGAATCGAACTCGTCGTGTGATGTTGCGCCAACCGCTGCACCACCGAGCGTCGCGATGGACAGACGGTGACCGTGGGGGGTGGAGGGCGTCAGTCCGGCAAGATCCCGCGGGAACTGCGCCCACGACCCTCCTGCGTGACCGGGCGAGGTAGTCAACATCTCCTCGGATACAATCGGCCGCCGATGTTGGCCGTGAGCGGGAATCCAACTCGGGTTCGCGGGTCGCGAACCGCCGCGCCGGCGATCATCGCGATGGAGAGACGGCCGCCGTGGGGCGAAAGGCGTCAATCCGGCAGGGTCGGGATCGAACCCAGGGTCCCTCCTGCTTGACCGGGCGAGGGAGATGACGCGGCCTCCTGGCCACCCAAGGCGCCGAGTCGACCTCAGGCTTCAGATGATCACCCCGAGCGGGAATCCAACTAGGGCTCGTAGTGCCAACTGCCGCGCCGGCGAGCATCGGCGATGGGCAGACGGCGACTGCGAGTCGGAGGGATCAGTCCAGCGGGGTCCCACGGGAACTGATCGCACGACCCTCCTGCACACGAACGGCCGAGCGAGATAACGGCCTCACCGGCAAAACCGCACCTCTTGCAAGACGCAAGCGAGCGAGCGACAAGAGCGACGGAATGGACCTTCAAACGTTCCGTCGACGCTGTTCGCGAATGAGGTGGGGGGCGGGGGGGGGGGGCGGGGGGAGAACGACGAGAAAGAACACGACGGCGGGGAGGCGAGCGTCGACGCGCCGGGTTCGGGGGCACTGCGCGGGGGGGTGGGGGGCCGCCCCCCCCGCCCCCTCCGTTGCTCACAGTCTTTTATTTTGCAGCACAGCGACGACAACGACGACGAGAAACGGGAGAGAGGCCCTCTCTAGACTCACGCAGAGGACGATGGTGGTGGACACACGGGGAAGATGGCGGAGTGGGGGGGGGGTGGTTGGGGGGGGCAAGATGAAATGATGTTGGGTGAAGACGGTGGCTTCGGGGGGGACAGCGGGTAGCGAAAACGTCGCGACGCGTTGATACGAGCACTCTCCTACAGCCGCACCTCGGACGAGGATGTGAAGACCCCGAGACCCGGTGTCGGTGTCACGGAGACCCGGTCTCAAGACTCGGACCCCGAGACCCAGTCTCGGTGAGTCCCACTCAAGACTTGGACCCTGAGACCCAGTCTCGGTGAGTCTCATTCAAGACTTGGATCCTGAGACCCAGTCTCGGTGAGTCTCATTCAAGATTTGGATCCTGAGACCCAGTCTCCGTGAGTCTCATTCAAGACTTGGACCCTGAGACCCAGTCTCGGTGAGTCCCACTCAGGACTTGCACCCTGAGACCCAGTTTCGGTGAGTCTCATTCAAGACTTGCACCCTGAGACCCAGTCTCCGTGAGTCCCACTCAAGACTTGGACCCTGAGACCCAGTCTCGGTGAGTCCCACTCAAGACTTGCACCCTGAGACCCAGTCTCCGTGAGTCCCACTCAAGACTTGCACCCTGAGACCCAGTTTGGGTGAGTATCACTCAAGACTTGCACCCTGAGACCCAGTCTCCGTGAGTCCCACTCAAGATTTGGATCCTGAGACCCAGTCTCGGTGAGTCCCACTCAAGACTTGGATCCTGAGACCCAGTCTCCGTGAGTCCCACTCAAGACTTGGATCCTGAGACCCAGTCTCGGTGAGTCCCACTCAAGACTTGGATCCTGAGACCCAGTCTCCGTGAGTCCCACTCAAGACTTGCACCCTGAGACCCAGTCTTGCTGAGTCTCATTCAAGACTTTGATCCTGAGACGCAGTCTCCGTGAGTCCCACTCAAGACTTGCACCCTGAGACCCAGTCTCGGTGAGTCCCACTCAAGACTTGCACCCTGAGACCCAGTCTCCGTGAGTCCCACTCAAGACTTGGATCCTGAGACCCAGTCTCCGTGAGTCTCATTCAAGACTTGCACCCTGAGACCCAGTCTCCCTGAGTCCCACTCAAGACTTGCATCCTGAGACCCAGTCTCCGTGAGTCTCATTCAAGACTTGCATCCTGAGACGCAGTCTCCGTGAGTCCCACTCAAGACTTGCACCCTGAGACCCAGTCTCCGTGAGTCTCACTCAAGACTTGGATCCTGAGACCCAGTCTCCGTGAGTCCCACTCAAGACTTGGACCCTGAGACCCAGTCTCGGTGAGTCTCACTCAAGACTTGCATCCTGAGACCCAGTCTCCGTGAGTCTCATTCAAGACTTGCATCCTGAGACGCAGTCTCCGTGAGTCCCACTCAAGACTTGCATCCTGAGACGCAGTCTCCGTGAGTCCCACTCAAGACTTGCACCCTGAGACCCAGTCTCCGTGAGTCTCACTCAAGAGTTGCACCCTGAGACCCAGTCTCCGTGAGTCTCATTCAAGACTTGGACCCTGAGACCCAGTCTCCGTGAGTCCCACTCAAGACTTGGACCCTGAGACCCAGTCTCGGTGAGTCTCATTCAAAACTTGGATCCTGAGACCCAGTCTCGGTGAGTCTCATTCAAGACTTGGATCCTGAGACCCAGTCTCCGTGAGTCTGACTCAAGATTCGGATCCTGAGACCCAGTTTCGGTGAGTCTCATTCAAGACTTGGACCCTGAGACCCAGTCTCGGTGAGTCCCACTCAAGACTTGCACCCTGAGACCCAGTCTCCGTGAGTCTCATTCAAGACTTGGATCCTGAGACCCAGTCTCGGTGAGTCACATTCAAGACTTGGACCCTGAGACCCAGTCTCCGTGAGTCCCACTCAAGACTTGCACCCTGAGACCCAGTTTCGGGTGAGTCTCATTCAAGACTTTGAAGCTTAAAAAAAAACTAAAATGTTAAGTCTCTCTTTGCTCTAATAACATGATCACGAATGAATTTCAGTGGACTTGGCTTTCCCGATTTAAATTCAGATCTTCTTAATACCTGAAAGGGGCACGAGACAATTACATCAACGTCTACAGTGTTAGGAATAGTTAAAACAAAACTTCACTTATGTACAAAAAGACAAAGATTCCGATCGTCCCAATCCCCCCCCCCCCCCCCCCCCCGTATAGCCTGAACAAGGCTGCCGGGGCAAGTGCTCTTACCGAGCACCTATGAAGGCCGGCACGGCACACGAAGGCGATGGGTGGCCAGAACCACGCCCAGCCGCGCCGGGTTACCCATTTGAGGCCGAGTAGACCCGGGGGAGGCTCAGGGCCGGTCCGGACTAGGCTCGTCGGGGTTCGTAGCGCGGTGCTCCCCCACTTAGTTACAGTACAAAGACAAAGATCCCCCCCCCCACCCCCTGTTTAGCCTCTGAGACTGTTTGGGGCAAGTGCTGTTAGCGAGCACAAAAAAGACAAAACATCCGCCCCGCGTAGCCTGTAACAGACTTTTTGGGGGCAAGTGCTGTTAGCGAGTAGCACCTATGAAGGCCGGCACCACGGCCGGCGATCTTTACACACCGCACCAGGTGCTGATTTTGAGGCAGAGTCGACCTCGGGGAGGCCTAGGGCCGGTTCAGATCGTCACTGGTGGTGTTTGGTCGTGAGGGAGGGGAGGAAGGGAGGGGAGGGAAGGGAGGGAAGGGAGGGGAGGGAGCAGCAACAGAGCGGCAGATTCCACCCGCTTTTATCCGCGCTTTAACCGGATGTTTCACCACGCAATGCCCACCCCCCCACGTAACAGTCGCCCCGAAGATAGCGGATAATCGCCGGTCGATTCCACGAAACCCTTTAACGGATATTAGGATCCACCAACAGCGCTCACCGGATCTCAACGCGGATTAAGGGAGAGGTGTTTTACTGCTCGCCATCGTGGTTGGGAGATGTTAATTACATCGCCTGGTACGCAGGAGGCCGTGGGTTCGATCACGACCCCTGACGATGCCTGCTGCTGTATATTTGTAGCTGTTAGTGTCTCTGTCTCTATCACCATGGTGGCTAGGATACGTTAACCACCTCGCCTGGCATACAGGAGGCCGTGGGTTCGATTCCAACCCCTGACGATGACTGCTGTAGATCTGGAGTTTGCGTTTTTTTAATCCTTTATATTAAGTTCGCTTGCTTGCTTAGGACCGTGCAAATCTTTCGGTTGATTTTTAACCCACTTCCCGTGATCCAATCGAGCTGACATTTTCCACACAGACTCGTTGTGCGTGACAATTCATGTTCGTGAAAATTTTTTCCAAAATTTTACACTTTTTAGGACAAAAATATTATATTTAATTACCAATTGCTTAATGCTGCAATGCAATCATCTGACCCATAGGTGGCAGCCATCTCAAGCCAGAGGACAAGAGGACTCTAGCCGCCACGCATATAAAGGATTTATAGTGAAAAACTTTGTTTTTACGGGTTATACTTGTTCTTTCTTTCTCCAGGTCCTCCGTTTTTCCCCCTTCGCGTTTACAACTCAACATCACCGCTGCTAAAAATGCCCACGCGACGATGGTATCGGCCCCCTGCGCTCAGCTGCTATCGTTTGTGTCAGCCAGGGTCGCTTCTGAAAAAGGACCTGCACAGCTCAGCAGTGGGGGGGTGGGGGGCCTTACCCGCTAAATAAACAATAAATAGTTGTAGTTTTAGTTTAGTTCTTTTCGCCCCGCTAGCTTTTGAGGGGTGAGGGGGGGGGGGCAGGACGGGTTAGCTGGAGGAGTCGTGGGGGGGGGGGGGGGGGGGCAAGGGGCGTGCCGCCCCCTCCGACGCCCCCTTTTCCCCCTAAACATTCTCGCAACGGCCTCAAGAAGACAGGCGGTGGGCCAAGGCCTTCGCTCGTACGCGCGGCGCGGGAAGGGGAGGGGGCCGCCGACGGCTCAAGCGATTCCTCCGCCGGCCTTCAAAACGCCCATCGTCTTGCGCCCCCTTCGCTCCGCGGTTGAAACTACGGTCGTCGCCGATCGGCGTCGCGTAGGCCCGGACCGGGGCCCGTGGCCTCTCCGCGAGTTGAAGAATTTTGTTACGACCGAGCCGCCCGTCGCACGCCCGCTCTCCCCGCACTCCCCGCCCGCCCCTCAGCCAACTCGCCCGAATCACCCAACCAAGACGGCTCGGAGCAAAAACGAACGCGCGACTAGTGAGACGTCGATTGTTTTTAACCAATTGTTTTACCACCCCCGACTTTGCGAGCTTTGCATCCTCACGCGAGAGCCATCGTGAACAATCACGCTTGAGTGAATCTGCCCATGCAATAAAATACTCTCGTGTACGAGAAAAATCTTTGCGGCTTGTCAAACCACCCAACACAGCTTCTTCACGCGGTGCCTGCAAGATTAACCGTGGGGTTGAGCCCGACGGCCCAGACACCTCCTCCGCACGTTACGTGCACAGGTTGTGGGGGAGTGGTGGTGGTAGCGGTTTGCGCTGCACTGCGCTACGAACCCGGCGACCCGGGTTTGATTCCCGCTCGACAGCCAACACCCGGTGACGATTATCTGAACCGGTCCTGGGCCTCCCCCGAGTCGACCGAGTGTCAAATGAGTACCCGGTGTGGTGTGTAGTAAACATCGCCATGAGTACCCGGTGCTGGCAACCCACCCCCTCGTGTGCCACAGGGCCAGACTTCATAGGTGCTGCTACTCGCCAACAGCACTTGCCCCAGCAGTCTGTCAAGGCTATACGGGGGTATCTTTGCCTTTGTGTGTGCGTACGCCATTACCAAGCCATTCTGCACGGCTCTCCGTTTAGACAGCAGCTAACCGAGTCACGGATTATTTTGGTCCGCGTGTCACTGTCACTGAACGTCCAATCACGAAGATTTACTGGAACGACTCCCCAATTGTCCTCCGGTTCTCTCAGGAACAACACGGTCAACTTCGCGGCGATATGAGGCTGCGGATCGGGGTTCAGAGGGAAAAGACCCCCGGACCATTATAAAAGTTGAGTCTCCCAACGTGAAACCCAAAATCCAACAACTCCCCCCCCCGCCCCCAACTCCCCCATTCAACTGCCAACATCCGAACCGAGCCAGCATGGGGCCAGCATGGTAGGGGTGGTTTTTTCCACTGGAAACATCCGAACGGAGCCAGAACGGTACGGGTGTTTTTTTCCACTGGAATTATCGGAACCGAGCCAGCGCGGTTCCAGCACGGTACGGGTGTTTTCTTTCCACTGGAAACATCCGAACAGAGCCAGCGCGGTTCCAGCACGGTACGGGTGTTTTCTTTCCACTGGAAACATCCGAACCGAGCCAGCGCGGGGCCAACACGGTTCGGGTGGTTTTTGCCCACTGGCTGTTTGCCGGAAACTAAAGCATGATTTTCTGCTGCCGCTGGCATAGCAAGAAGTCGTCCGAATCTGGCTCGGGGGGGCTGAGCAGGGCCGGTGAAGGGGGGGGCGGAGAACGAAGCGTTCACCACGCACGTCACCGCTCGTTTGTTGCGAGCCGCGCGAGTGCGGGAGAGAAGCACAACCCCGGCGCCTACAGATCGGTGCCACAAAAACAAAACCCCCCCCACGTACAAAGTCTTCCGGCACCGTGGGTCTTAAATAAAAAAAGAGACTGGGTGGGAGGGGGGGAGAGGCGCTCTCCGATCGCGAAAAACAAACAAAACCGACCCGAACCCGTCGTCGTAGCAGACGTCGTCGGGAAACACTGATCCTGCTAAAAAACGAAGCGGTGAAGCCGCGCGTGTTCTCTCGGCTCTCTCCTCCCGCTCGCGTCCAGAACCGCCGCGGGGGGGCGGGGCGTCGAAGGGGGGGCGGCGGTGGGCGGCGGGGGCCGGGGCGGCGATTCACGGGTCGACGCCGGGGCCTTCCCGCGTACCGTCCGGTTCGAGTTCGGGGCCGCGCTGCCCCGCGCCGAGCTCGGCCTTGAGCTTGGCCTTGCGCTTGGCCCCGCGCCTGCCGCCCACTCCCGCGGCCGCCGCGGGTTCAGCGACGGCGGCGGCGATGACGGCGGCGGCGGCGGCCGCCCGCGGCTTGATGCGTAGTTTGATGTTGAGTTTGATGTTGGGCTTGGCGCCCGGCTCCGCGGCCGTCTCCTCTGCGGGCTCCACCTTGGGCACGACGATGGCGGCGACACTGTCGCCGCCATCGTCGTCGTCGTCGTCATCGTCGTCATCGTCGTCGTCGTCGAGCTCGATGCTCCGCCGTCGGCGTCCCGCGTACGCTCCGTCGTCGCTCCCCCCGTCGCTCAACTCCCCGTCGCTCAACTCCCCGTCGCTCCTCTCCTCGTCGCCGCTCCTCTCCTCCTCGTCGCCGCTGCCATCCTCGTCGCTCCTCTCCTCGCCGGCCCCTCCCTCGTCGTCGTCGTCATTGTCGGAGGCAGCTTCGGACTTGAGCTCGGTGCCGGCGGGCGTCCGCGCCCGAGGCGCCTCCGCGTCCTTCGCCTTCTGCTGCGACCGTCGCCGCTTCCTCTGCTGCTGCTGCTGCCGCCGCTGCTGCTCCTGCAGCTGCAGCTGCTGCCGCCGCTGCTGCTCCTGCAGCTGCTGCTGCTGCTGCTGCTCCAGCAGCTGCTGCTGCTGCTTGACGTGCGTCCTCTCGTGCTGGCGCAGGTTGGACGAGTTGGTGAACGCCTTGCCGCACACGAGGCACTTGTAGGGCTTCTCGCCCGTGTGCGTCCGCTGGTGGCTCTGCAGCGTGCCCAGCTGCGTGAAGTCCCGGCCGCACGCCGCGCACACGTACAGCTTCTCTCCCGTGTGCGTGCGCACGTGGCGCTGCAGGTCGCCCGACTGAGCGAACGCCTTTCCGCAGGCGGCGCACTTGTGCGGCCGTTCTCCCGTGTGCGTCGTCTGGTGCCGCTGGAGGCTGCCGAGAACGGTGAAAGCCTTGCCGCACGTCGGGCAGCGGTGCGGCTTCTCGCCCGAGTGCGCCTTGATGTGCCGCTGTAGGTTGCCGTAGATGGTGAACGCCTTCTCGCACTGCGGGCACTTGTACGGCTTCTCGTCCGTGTGCGTGCGGTGGTGCGTCAGCAGGTGCTCCATCTGCGAGAAGCGCTTGTCGCACACGGTGCACGCGTACGGGCGCTCGCCGGTGTGCGTCCGCCGGTGCTTCTGCAGGTCGCCGAGTTGCGTGAAGGCTTTGCCGCACTCGCCGCACGGGTGCGGCCGCTCGCCCGTGTGCGTGCGCATGTGGATGTCCAGGTGGCCCTTGCGCCGGGTGCTGTAGGCGCAGTGGTCGCAACGGTGCATCTTGTGCGGAGGCGGCGGCGGAGGAAGAGGAGGAAGAAGGTGCGGCAAGGGTTCACCGTCGGGGGCGCAAGCGGCCGGGGGGAGGGAGGACAGCGGGGGGAGTAGGGGGAGGGGCCCCGCTAGCGGGAGGGTGGGGGCAGCGGGGGGGAGGGCGGGGGGCGCCATCGCCATCTCTTGCTCCATGAGTCCTGCTCCCGGCAGACGCGCGCTGTGCAACACGCGCGCAGCAATCGGTCAAGACCCGTGTCTCGGTAAACTAGAAACTAAACAGTTTAACAGTTGGCGACCAGTATCGTCCGTAACGCAGGTTTGTTTTGGGTTAGATTGCGCACATATACGTGTCGTTAAACCCGCCACCACCCGACAATACGCCGCTGCACTAATTGTATATTTGAAGCTTTCGTGACTGCAAGGATTCATACTCTTAGGTTTGTTCGGTAAAGTCACTGTACTAGTATACTACACTATACACTACACTATACACTAGTGCTTTACTAGTAACAAATTGGCACGTTCTGTTTACGTGACACAAACCCTCTTACCGATTGTCTGCGTCGGGTGGTGGCAGGTTTAACGACACAATAACATTTATATATTTACGCGATCTAACCCTAACAACCTGTGTTACGGATGGCACGCTCCATTTACGTGACACAAACCCTCTTACCGATTGTCTGCGTCGGGCGGTGGTGGGTTTAACGACACAACATTTATATATTGACGCGATCTAACTCCAAATAAAAACCACCTGTATTGTGGATAAATCTAAACAGTTTTTTTTATTTTGCACGCGTACGTACGCACGTTTGTAGAGCTTCTTTCGCACCGGACGTGGCCAACCGATGATGCGCAGGGAAAGGACAAACTGAATGCCAAAAAAGCTGTCCATTCTACCGGGTAAGGCCCACTGAGCTGTATAGCGCTGTCTTCTTGACCTGAGACCGTTGCAAGAATGTTTAGGGGTAAAAGGGGGCGTCGGAGGGAGCGACACGCCCCTTGCCCCCCCCCCCCCCGACTCCTCCAGCTAACCCGCCCTGCCCCCCCCCCTCACCCCTCAAAAGCTAGCGGGGCGAAAAGAACTAAACTAATAGACCCTGGCTATCGCAAATGATAGCTCAACAAAGTTGCTTATCGCGCGGAAATGTATAGCAGCAGCAGCTGCGGTGGTGATGTCAACTACCTCGCCTGGTATACGGGAGGTCGTGGGTTCGATCTGGACCCACGCCTGCTGCCGTACATTTGGAGTTTGCGTGTCTCTCTCTCCGTGGTCGCGTGGATTTTTCTCCGGGTCCTCCGGTATTTCCCTCCAAATTTAGGATCAACATCACCCGTTTCGAGTATTTGGCCGCTATAAATGTTCACGTGATGATGAGCCACTTCGTTGGGCTATCACTTGTGGCCAGGTCGCATCTGAAAAACGAGCTACATAGGACAGTGTGTTTTACCTGGTAAGATCACAAAAAATAAGTTTTTAGGAATGATTTAACTAATTATGCTGCTACTGGTAATGTGCATGACTGATGATGATGTTGATGTTAATAGTGCTGATTTGAATGACTCGTGAAACCAATAATACCGATGACGATGTTGCTGCCGATGCTACTGAAAATTGCGTTACCGACGATGCCAATGCCACTGAAGCTCTCCTCTCTTTGGTTCTTTCGGTAAAGTCACGTAGGTCGAAATAAAACAAAATAAATCACGTTTTGAACGCAACACAAGCGCTCAAGGCGGCAGACATCGTGCTGCTCGCAGCAGACATCGCGGCTATCGCGATTGTCACCTGAAGATGATGACGCTTGTCAGAGGTCGCAACCGGGTACCCGATACCCGTACCCTACCCGATACCCGTACCTGGCCGGGTACGGGTACCCGTTTGCGACCCTGGTGCGGCCGGGTACGGGTAGGGGTAGGCCGTGAGTCACTGGTGAGTAACTGTTTGTCACTCATTTCGGGTAGGGTACGGGTAGGGAACGGGTACCCATTTGCGACCCTGGTGCGGCCGGGTACGGGTACGATTCCAAGAACACAGGATGAGATGTTACTATCCTTTGTGCAAGCACTTCCAAGAGTTCATGAACAGTGAGCCTGGTGAAATTTGGGGAGCGCATCGTCAGTAGTGAACCTTTGGTTCCTAGGGTGTTTCGGCCTTTCATACTATACACCCTCCCCAAAGGCGGCCAGCGACAGGGTGATCAATCCTACGCTTGCGTCCCATTCCCAATTAGTCATGGGCGTTGCCTTGTTGTTGATAGCCAACATCAACAACAAGGCAGGTACGGGTAGGGAACGGGTACCCATTTGCGACCCTGGTGCGGCCGGGTACGGGTAAGGAATCAAAACCCGTTTGCGACCTCTGGCGCTTGTGTTGCGTTCGAAACGTCGCGATTTATTTTTTTAATTTTTACCTACGTGACTTTACCTAAAGAACCGCAGAGTATGGATTCCTGCAATCACGAAGAATAAAAATCAACCTACTCAAGCTATTATACCAGAGGTCGCAAACGGGTTTCGATTCCTTACCCGTACCCGGCCGCACCAGGGTCGCAAACGGGTACCCTACCCGTACCCGGCCGGGAACGGGTATCGGGTACCTGATTGCGACCTCTGGGATGAAGCCATGTTGCAGGCGCGGGTGGGTTGATTCTAGGAACTTGAATTGTGAGAAGAGACAAGACGTTGGGAAATGAGTGACAAACGGTGACTCACCAGTGACTCACGGCCTACCCGTACACGTACCCGGCCGCACCAGGGTCGCAAGCGGGTACCCGTACCCGGCCGGGTACGGGTAGCCTGATGCTAGTGATGATGCTGATGCTACTGACAAGGCTGATGCTCCTGATGAAGCTGTTGCTGCTGATGTTGATTCTACTGACAATGCTTATTCTTGTCGCTGATAATGTGGCTGATTATATCAACAATGCTAATGCCACTGATGCTACCGGCGAAGTGGGTACTCAACAATGCCGACGATGCTTCTGATCGTGATATATCTGCTGATGGTGATGTTACTGCTGATGATGTTGTTGATTTTACTAACAATGCTGATGCCACTGATGCTACCGGTGAAGTTGCTGCTGCTGATGACGCTGCTGCTACTCATAGCGATGATATTTCTGGTGCTGATGATGTTGTTGATTTTACTGACAATGCTGATGCCACTTATGCCGCTGATGATTTCGCTGCTGCTACTCACAGTGATATTTCTGCTGATGATGTTGATGTTGCTGATTATACTGACAATGCTGATGCCACTTATGCCGCTGATGATTTCGCTGCTGCTACTCACAGTGATATTTCTGCTGATGATGTTGATGTTGCTGATTATACTGACAATGCTGATGCCACTTATGCTGCTGATGATTTCGCTGCTGCTACTGACAGTGATATTTCTGCTGATGATGTTGATGTTGCTGATTATACTGGCAATGCTGATGCTACTGGTGAAATTTCGACTCAACAATGCTGCAGATAGTGATACTTCTGCTGATGCTGATACTGTTGATGATGACGCTGCTGCTACTCATAGGGATACGTCTGCTACTGCTGATGTTGCTGATTATAGTAACAATGCTGCTGAGTGATATTTCTGCTGCTGATGATGCTGCTGCTAATGGTGAAGATGCTGTTGATGATGACACTGCTACTCAAGTGATGTCTGCTGCTGCTGATGTTGCTGATTATACTAACAATGCTGCTGATAGTGATATTTCTGATGTTATTGCTGATGCTAATGGTGAAGATGCTGTTGCTGATGACACTGCTACTCAAGTGATGTCTGCTGCTGCTGATGATGTTGCTGATTATACTAACAATGCTGATGCCACTACTTGTCAAATTGCTACTCAACAATGCCGATGCTGCTACGGCTGATAGTGATGAGATTTCTACTGAATATCCTGCTGATGATGATGTTGCTGCTGCTGCTGATTACACCAACAATGCTGCTGCCGATGATGCTGCTGATGCTGATCCTGCTGATGATGCTGATCCTGATGATGCTGATCCTGCTGCTGATGATGCTGATCCTGCTGCTGATGATGCTGCTGCTGATGATGCTGATCCTGCTGATGATGCTGCTGCTGATGATGCTGATCCTGCTGCTGATGCTGCTGCTGATGATGCTGCTGCTGATCCTGCTGATGATGCTGCTGCTGATGATGCTGATCCTGCTGCTGATGATGCTGATCCTGCTGCTGCTGATCCTGCTGCTGCTGATCCTGCTGCTGATGCTGATCCTGCTGCTGATGATGCTGATCCTGCTGCTGCTGATCCTGCTGCTGATGCTGATCCTGCTGCTGCTGATGATCCTGCTGCTGCTGATGCTGCTGATCCTGCTGCTGATGCTGCTGATGATCCTGCTGCTGCTGCTGATCCTGCTGCTGATGATCCTGCTGCTGATGAGCGTTCAGTGAAGAGGTGACGGAGGAGGAGGGAGGGGCACTGGGGGGGTGGGAGATGAAGACGCGCGGTGACGTCACCACGCGCGCGCGCGGCGACCTCTGACCCCGGCGGCGTCTCGCGCCCTCCTCGCCTGACGAGGCCGCAGGCTTCGCCTCGCTCGCTCGCCCCCCCCCCCCCAGGGGCTGAGGCGACGTTTGTGAGGAGATGAGATGAGAGAGAGAAGAAGAGAGAGGGGGGGGGAGGGGGGCGAATACCCCCCAATAATAATGAGGGGATTAACAGAGTTGTGGTTTGCCGACGGAAAGGAGATTTAATCCACCACCGCCACCACCACGTACGCCATCCACGGCCACGTACCTTTGCCTCTCCTCTCCTCCCCACCCCGCGCGGAGCCTCGACAAAGGCGGCTTAGAGGCACCGCGTAGCCAGCCAGCCAACCCCCCCTCACATGCGGGGGACAGGCAGCGGCGGCACCCCGCCTGGAGCGCCACGGCCGCCTACTCGCGACAATTCGGGCGGTCGTGAGGGTGGTGGGTGGGGGTGGGGGTCCTAGCGGTGACGTAGGGGGTCAGGGGGGCGTGGCCATCCATTGACTCCGCCCACTTATTGCCGTTGGTCCCCGCCCACTGCCCCCACCCACCCGATTACACCCCCCCCCCGCTGACCCCCCCCCCCCGCTACTACACCCACCCCCCCACTGACCCCCCCTCCCCCGCTACTACACCCCCCCCCGCTGACCCCCCCTCCCCCGCTACTACACCCCCCCCCCCCGCTGACCCCCCCTCCCCCGCTACTACACCCCCCCCCCGCTGACCCCCCCTCCCCCGCTACTACACCCCCCCCCCCGCTGACCCCCCCTCCCCCGCTACTACACCCCCCCCCGCTGACCCCCCCTCCCCCGCTACTACACCCCCCCCCCGCTGACCCCCCCTCCCCCGCTACTACACCCCCCCCCCCCGCTGACCCCCCCCTCCCCCGCTACTACACCCCCCCCCCCGCTGACCCCCCCCTCCCCCGCTACTACACCCCCCCCCCCGCTGACCCCCCCCTCCCCCGCTACTACAACCCCCCCCCCGCTGACCCCCCCTCCCCCGCTACTACACCCCCCCCCCCCCCGCTGACCCCCCCCTCCCCCGCTACTACACCCCCCCCCCGCTACTACAACCCCCCCCCCGCTACTACACCCCCCCCCCCCCCCGCCGCCCCCACACCCCCCACTACCCGACTTACCCCCCCCCGCTACTACACCCCCCCACCGCCCCCGCCCCCACCCCCCGCTACCCCCCCAACGCCCCCACCCCCCCATCCGCTGCCCCCGCCCCCCACACCCCCCAACACCCGACTTACCCCCCCCCCCCGCTACTACACCCCCCCCACCGCCCCCCACCACCGCCCCCACCCCCCGCTACCCCCCCCGCCGCCCCCACCCCCCCATCCGCTGCCCCCGCCCCCCACCGCCCCCACCCCCCGCTACCCCCCCCACCGCTACTACACCCCCCCCACCGCCCCCACCCCCCGTTACCCCCCCCCACCGCCCCCACCCCCCATCCGCTGCCCCCCCCCGCCGCTACCATTCCCCTCCCAATCGCCCCCACCCACCGCGCGCGAGCGTTGGTGACGTCACCAACGGTCGCCCGTCTCGCGCCGGAGGGCGGGGTGTGTTGAGGGGAGCAGAGGAAGTGACGTCGGCTTACAGGAAGTAAATCTTTGGACGGCTCACCCCGAAACGAATCAAAACAACCACAATGCAACGCGGACGGTGTTAAGCGATATTACTTTTTAAAGTTTATTCGTTTCTTCAGAGATAGGTTTTTGTTCGAAGAACGTAGGCTTTGGTCTGCTACGCGGTAGCTTCTAATAGTGTAACAGTGCGTTTTGGCTCATTACAAAAACTAGGTCATGAGAAAAAAAAATGAATATTACGTCCCATAGTGTAAATGTATTGACTCACCGACCATTATGAACTCAGGATGCAAAACCTCTTGTTTCGCGAGCTATGAATAAGGGGCGTTGCTTGGAACGTCGGCTATTTATGTATCGTCTCTTTCACGGAACCACACGTACAGTGTTTATAGGCGGACCTGTTCGGTTATTAGTTCTGTAGTATTGTCATCTTCAATCCTGTAACCCAAGACCGTAATTATAATATAATTTCATATATACTCAAAATGTCCCCCAAAGATATTTATAATAATAAAATTGCTATGCTATGTAAATAAAAATAACAATTTGCTAAACCTTTGCCACAATATCTGGACTTGTCTTCACATAAATCAATGCATAGATTTCTGTTTATATGATTGTGGTTATGATTGTACTATATGAATCCCTAAAACTCTGCCATTACATACAATGAAACACGAAATGGTAAAACAAAGTAAAAACAGAGCAATGTAATACAATAACACCATTAGACATTATTGTAAAAAATAAATAAAAAGTCCATCCCATGTGTTAGTGAATTTTTTTTATATTTTAGGCAGGAAATTCGTTTTCAAAATTAGATATTTTTCTGGGTTGGCACCCCCAAACACCCTGGAAGATTTGATCCACCCCAATGTTGAATCCATGGCTACGGCCTTTCTGTAACTTTGAATAGGGTTATCCGTATTAAAAAAAATACCTTAAAGTGTACATAGTCTCAAACACCTCTATAGGGTTACTCCCCGACAAGGTAGAAAGATGACAATTGGTTACACGGGTAGCTTTAAGGAGACAACATGAGAGAAAAACTCTATCTTCTACATAAATAAAGACCTTAATATGTACATAGTCTCAAACACCTCTATAGGGTTACTTTCCAACAAGGTAGAAAGATGACAATTGGTTACACGGGTAGCTTTTAGGAGACAACATGAGAGATAAATATTTCTTCTATATAAATTAAGGCCTTAATCTGTACGTCTAAAAAAAACCTCTAGGGTTCAAGTTCAAGTTCATTTATTAGGTATAGCCCTGTGAGCCATTCGGCTCTTGAATCGGGTGCAACCGGCAAGGTAGACACCTGAGATGTGGTACACAGATCGCTTCTAGGACACAAGCAACAGAAGAGAGAATAAGTATAACCCGTAAAAACAAAGTTTTTCACTATAAATCCTTTATATGCGTGGCAGCGAACTTAATATAAAGGATTTAAAAATATATTCGCCTGTGTAGGACGCAGGGATCGATCCCGCGACCTTTGGCATGGGAAGCGAGGGCACTACCAACTGCGCTACTCCGCCACGGCCTGTGGAGGGGTTACGCTCTGGGCTCTTACACTGTGACGTTCAGCCAAAGCCATGAATGAGTTCTATTTGAATATATGTAAAATAAAAAAAAATTGTCTAAAAAGTGTAAAATTTTGGGAATTTTTTTTCAGGAACATTAATTGTCTCGCACAACGAGTCTGTGTGGAAAATGTCAGCTCGATTGGATCACGGGAAGTGGGTTAAAAAACGACCGAAAGATTTGCAAGCACGCAAGCAAGCAAGCACGCAAGCGAACTTAATATAAAGGATTTCAAAATCAGAAAATCCCAGATTTGTCATTTTAAGGTCCACAATCTCGACGTTTAAGTGCCCCATGGACACGTCTGTGTGCGTGGTGTCATTCAGAAGCCGTTCACGATATAAGTTTGCGGGTTCTTTCGTTTGATAGGAGAGCGTTAGACGGCAAATAAATGTTATCAATAAATATAATAATTAACCTGACTTGATTTGTGTTGCAGTTTGTGAGCTACGATCAGACCACTTAGCAAATAACTCCAACAATTTGGTATTTTTTCCGCAAAAAACACGAAAATTGTTGGCGACTGTGATTCAACTTCTATTTAAAGACGTAACCATTGGAAGCCGCTCAATTTAAAGATGCCGTTCTTTTTGCTATTAGAAAGAACAAAAAGTACAAACGTAATAGTCTATGAGGAGAACCTCTCCTATCTTTTAACGTTTTCGAATTATTCAGATGTCAACATCGTAAAATGCGGATTTTATTCCTTCAAAAACCGCTTGCATCTGAAATATCTCAAAAACAATGAAATATAGAACAATGGTTCTGGCTTCTAATTTTATTTGCAGTTTAACGCTCGATCAAACGAAAACCCCCACAATCTTACATCGTAAACGGTTTACGAATGACACCACACACACAAACGTGTTCATGGGACACTTACAATTGAGATTTGGGGGCCTAAAATGACAAATCTTCGATATTCAAATTTGTCTATGTCCTAAAAGCTACCTGTGTACCACAGTTCAGCTCTCTCGGGAAGTGCCCTAGAGGTTGTTGTGGATTTACTCTCCAACACAGAACCGGTGTAGCGCTGCACTAGTAGACTACACTATACACTACACTATACACTACAATATAATTTAAATGTTGTAGTAGGATTACTCTCCATCACACAACTGGTGTAGTGCTGAACTAGTATACACTATACACTACACTATAGACTACACTATACTCTACTATACACTACACTATACACTACACCATAATTATAAATGTTGTAGTGGGTTTACTCTCCAACACACAACCGGTGTAGCGCTGAACTAGTATACTAAACTATACACTACACTATACACTACACTATACACTACACTATACACTACACTATACACTACACTATACACTATACTATAATTGTAAAAGTTGTAGTGTGTTTTACTCTCCAACAAACAACCGGCTGTATTTGGCTGCTATGAATTTCCACGTGTCGATGGAACGCCGAATCAATTGAAAAGGGTGCTTACCAAAAATGTGACACTTATATGGGACTATCGTTGTTGATGGGGAAAAAGAACTGGAACATGATAACAAAGGTAACGTCAACATTCTAGATTGAAGCTTTCGTGACTGCAAGGATTCATATTCTTAGGTTTTTTCCGGTAAAGTCACGTAGGTAAAAAAATAATAATAAAAGTAAAATAAAATAAAAATCACTTAACCACAATACAAACTGCTTGTGTTGTGGTTATGTGATTTTTATTTTATTTTTATTTTACTTGTATTAATTTTAAATTTTTTACCTACGTGACTTTACCGAAGAAACCTAAGAATATGTAACGTCAACAGCTTGAAAAAGCCAGTGTCCAATTGCTCGCCATCATTGTCAACGCATGGCCTGGAATCTTGTCCAGGTGCTCTCCAGAGCCCGGAGGCACATTTCTTGTGAAATTCTTAGAAGTTTTCAAAAAATGCTGAAGCACCCTGTACGCTACACGATACACTACACTGCAATACACTACACTATATACTACACTATACACTACTGTACACTTTACACTACTATGCACTACTATACACTACACTATACACTACACTGCGATATACTACACTATACACTACACTATAGTACACTACTATACACTACACTATACACTACACTATACACTACACTATACACTACACTGCGATATACTACACTATACAATGCTATACACTATACACTACACTATGCACTACACGATACACTACACTGCAATACACTACACTATGCACTACACGATACACTACACTGCAATACACTACACTATACACTACATGAT